TCACCCAGCCTCCCCAGGGCCTCTGCTCATCCACTCCCTTTCTGGGGAACACTGCACACACACACACAGACCCCCAGCCAGCCTGGTCCTCTCGGGTCATTTAGCTGCTGCCTCCACTGGGAAGCCTCCCACAACTCCTCCGGGCAGCACCCCCAGGCCAGCTGTGTTCAGGGTGCACCACTGCCCCTCCCCGTGTTTTGCCCCCAGAACTTTGATCACAAACGATAACAAAGCCTCACGACCCCACTCAGGATTTCACCACTTAGCAGCTGCTCATTCCCTCAGATGCAGCAAGTTCCTGAAGACACAAACTGCCTGCCTGCCTCTCTGTCTGTCTGTCTGTCCGATTCATTCACAACACAGCTTGCCACCCAGTAGGTGCTCAACAAATACTTCCCCAGCGCACTACTGGGTGGCTGGTAGTTGTCTCCATCCACGACATAGGCTCCCCCACCTCTCAGGGGATGTGCACAGCCCCAGCACAGTGCCCAGAGTGAGGTAGCGCTCTGCCACAGGCCCGCTCTCAGGGCCAGAGTAAGCTGGGCTTCCTGGATCCTTCTTGGCACTGACTTTCCCAGTCCTGGGCCCCTATATAGCCCTGAATTAGGAGCGGTAGGGCCACTGTGTCGTCTAAGAACACACTGGGTGCCGGGAGCCATGGGCAGGAGAGGGGCAGTGGAAGACCCCACACATGCAGCACTGCACCTGTCCCTGACTTTGAGGGTTCCTGACAGCTTCTGCACACAGTAAGGCTTCTGTTAATGGCCTGAATGGAAAATGTCCTTTGTCTCAAGCAGGGGATTGTGGCAAGTGCCTATAACCCCAGTACTCAAGAGGCTGAGGCAGGAGAATAATCAGGAGTTCAACGCGAGCCCAGGCTACACAGTGAGTTCAAAGCCAGGCTGAACTACGTGATGAGATCCTATTTCCAAAGTCCAAAAAGAAAAAAAAAAAAAAAAAGAAATTTTCCTTTGTCCCAAGCAGGGGTGAAATTCAGAGAAGGGAGAGAACTGAGAAGGTACTATGATAGAGGATGTGTTCAGGAGGGGAAGATTTGATGTCTTATGTGGAAAGGGTTGTGCAAGGGCCACCAGGTGAGCCCAAGACCCTCTCGCCCAGTCTTTCATGGGACTGTGGCTGTCTTGGTTACTTTTCTCTCATTGCTGGGACAAAATACCTGAAATTAAGGAAGGAAAGGTTTATTTAGCTCACAGTTAGTGGAGATTTCAGTCCATACTCAGCTGGCTCCAAGGCAGAGTGGCCCATGGCAGAGGGCAGCAGTTCAGAGTGGTGGAAAACAGCAAAACAGCAAGAACAAAAAGGAGGAGTACTGGCAACAAGGGCTGCAGAGAGCAAGTCTGTCTCTCTCAGCATTCAGGCTCTTCGCCCCAGGCCGGGTGTAGCACTCACACCTGTAATCCCAGCACTGGATCACAAATTAATCACAAACTCTAGAAGTGTGCTCCATAACTGCATGAGGCTTTGGAGGGACAACTAGACACAACCCATAACAGTGGCCAAGTCTCACGAGGACCTGGCAGGACAGAGCAGAGGCCAGAACTCCAGGTCCTGCCTGCTCCTTGTCAAGCTCTTGCTACCTCGGTGGGCCTCAGTTTCCCCAACACCTCCACAATGTCATAGGGCTTTCCCTGTGGTCCCACTTCCTAGGTGCCTGGCTCACCGTCCCTCCTGACCCAAGGGGCTACCACACATATGCCAAGGTTATCCAGGGCCCAGCAGGACAGAGCTGGCCCCCTGTGGTCTGCACTGGGATTGGGGCTGCTGGCTCCATGGCCCTTACAAATTGGGACCGAGGATCCCTGGGACAGGAGGGTGCCCAGTGCTCCGGTCTTCCTAGCTGAGAATGGGGTGAGAGGGTGCCCTCTCGCGGCAGCTCCCCCCACCCTCTCAGGGGTATGGGGCATCTTCTACCTGACTCAGCTTCCTCAGCTCACAAAGGGGTGCAATAACTCTTGACTCCAGGAATCCCACAGGGGAGCTGTCGCCTCTTAGAAATACTAGGTAGTCCTTTCCAGTTGTCACCTCTGAGGACATTGCAGTAAGTCAGATGCTTTGTGTAGGGGGACCCTGCCTCCCTGCCCTGCCCAACCTCAGATGCTTTGTGTGGGGGGACCCTGCCTCCCTGCCCTGCCCAACCTCTGCTCTTCCTCCCCCTGCTTTTTCCCTGCCTCTGGAGCACCTTTGTCCAGACCTTCCAACTCCTATTCATTCTTCAAGACCCATATTAGGCACCTCCTCCTCCTGGAAGCCTGCCCTGATGACCCCCATTCTGGTCTGGTGTTCCAAGGAAGAGTCCAGCATGATATATAGGGCTGGGAGATTCCTGGGTTCAAACCCTGGCTTTGTTGCTCCCTACCTGTGGGACCCTGGACAAGTCACTTAACTGCTCTGTGCCCTCACATTCTCTGAATTGGGGATTTCAGGTTCACTCTCATGTGCATGGGATAAATGTACTGAGTGTGAGGTGCACACCTGTGATTTCAGCACTGTGGAAGGCTGACGCAGAAGGATTGCAAGTTTGAGCCCATCCTGGGCAACTTAGAGACTTAGCAAGACCCTGTCTGGGAATAAAATAAAAAGGCCTGGGGATGTAGCTCAGAGTGAAGGTCCTGGGTTCACTCCCCAGAGCAAACAAAGAGCTGGGCTGGTACCTGGCACGGAACAGGCACTCCACAGATGGCACCCTGTGTTTGGGCAGGACTTACTGCCTGGTGGCTCTGTGCTTGCCATGTGGGGGACTGCCAGGGCCGAGAGGTTACTGACTCTCAGAGGAGCTGGGAGATGCGGTGTTTGTTCAGAGCCTCCTGTCAGCAACTCCAGGCAAAGCACACATCCGGGTGGGTGGGGGTTGGAGGAGCAGTGGCTCTGGGACAGCAGATCTGTTTGCTCTGGGCTCCAAGCCATGGTGCCCAGCAGCCAGCAGCCAGCAGCCAGTCCCCTGGCAAGTCGAGGAGAGTGCCTGCAGCACTGTTCCCCCCATCCATGGGTCTCTCTGCTCCCCAATACTGTTTCAGCCCCTGAGCCCTTGGCTCTCAGGTGTTTGGGAGCTGGGTGGTTCCAGATGCCAGCCAGATGTGAAAGGTTCTGAAGCTGAAGTCACTCGGGTGAGAGCCTAGGTCCTGGTCCCAACATGGAGTGAAGTCGGAGGGGTCGCCCTACCTCCCCCTGAGTGGGCCAGGCTGCAACTGTCCAAGAGCTGAGGAGCCTGCACTGGGCATGAGCATGCTGGGCTCAAGGGACCCCAGCCTCCTGTGACTCAGCATCCTGGCTCAGAGTGGGGAGGCTGGGGCTCAGACCTCCCTGAGCCACCCAAAGCAGGGCTTCTGACCTGCTGGCCTTACCTACAGTCCCTCAATTCCCACCAGCTTGCTCCCAGAGCCAAGGGCCTCAGACTGGTCCCCATGCTGACCCCAAGAGGGCGAGGGCAGAGGTCAGCACTGCTAAGCCCAGCATGCATTTCGGAAGACTGAGGCCGTAGTCATTACTAGCTCAATGCGGCCACCCTGTCCCAGGTCCTGACTCTGCATACTGCCCAGCTCTAGATCTGGTATTGGGCCCTGCATCCTTGGTGTATGGATTCTGCAACCTCTTCCCAACCACCCCATCCCAGTGTCCCATGTGGTACCCAGGGGTCTCATTCTCTGTGCTTCTCTGGAGCACAGATGACCAGATGACCAGGCAGGGTGGCAGATCCATGGGGCTCATCCTCTATAGCCTCACTACTAGGGCTGCTCCTGCATGCCCCAGGGTCAGCCCTGTTGGAGTAAAAAATTGGGAGGCGGCACATGAAGACAGACAGAAGGCCGGAAGCACAAAGATGAGGGATCTGGGGATGCCCTAACAATCCAGATTAGAGCCCTTGGTTAGGGCCCTGGCAACCCTCCCATCACCTGCAGCCACAGTCCACACTCAGACACCTCACACACTCACGGGCTCACGCTGCATGCTCACTGCACATTCTTGGCACACAGCTCAGGTCCCTTTTTCAACAGTTCTCAGTAGCAGTTGGGAGCTATATCCCTGGCTCAGTCTCTCTGTCCCCAAGGCTGCCCTGAGATACCAGCTGTCCTTTCTCCCTCTCTAGCTTAGCCTGAGAGGGGCCAGGGCACAGGGCCAGTTGGGGATCAGGGTGTGGGAAAGTCCCCCCATCCCTGCAGCCCTGGAATGCGCTGACCAGTGCTGGCCTAATCCTCTCTGCAGCCTGGGGGATGGGATGGGATGGGATGGGATGGGATGGGATGGGATGGGATGGGATGGGATGGGATGGGATGGGATGGGACAAGTCGGGAGGACGGGCAATGGTCCTGCAACAGGCACTGAGCATCAGATGGGACTCCAGAAGGCCAGGTGAGCCCCCCACCCTTGGCCAGGAAGGCAGACTTGGGAGGGGAGTAGGAGCTGCCTCTACTGGGTCTCTAGGAAGAGACGGGGGGGGGGGTAACTGTGTTCTCAGTGGTAGGAAGGGTCTGGGCTATGGAGGTTAGCAGAGCCTGGCAGGACCAGAGGAGGTGGGGCTGGGTGGGTGTAGCCTGGCTCATGTTTTTTTGTGTGTGTGTATGACAGGGATGGGACCAGCCCACCCCACCCCTTTTCCCTCCTCTTCAGAGAAAGGGAGAGAAGCAGAGGGGATGCAGCCCCAGGGGGTTGGGCTGCTGCGCCCCGCCCAGCCCAGCTGTCTATATCCCCCCAGCTGGCTGGCTCAGGCCTGCAGTGGTGGGGCAATGGCTGTGCAGGTGGGTGAGACCCAGAGCCTGGGGTGCACAGCACATCCCAGCTGGGGAGAGGGAGTGCGGCTGGGGTTTGGATCCTCCCAGGGTGGCTATGCTTCTCCCCCAGTGCTCATCAGACCCTAGCAGCAGGGGTGAAGGGGCCAAGATCCCCCAGAGCTGCTGCTGGGCAGGCTCACCCCATTCCCTCTGCTTGTCACAAGGAGGACATTCAGAGGGCCATGGTCCCAGGAAGGTTCACACTGGGGATGCATGCCTGGGTGGCAGGAGTGGAAGGGTGGAGGGGAGAGGGTCCACCACCCCAAAGGACTCTGTCTCTTTGTTCTTTGTCTTCAGTTCGAAGCCTTCTGTGCAGGGGGCTTGGCCCCAGGCTGGAGCCTCATGGTCCAGGGACAGGCTGACTCTGGCGAGGACAAGTAAGGAGCACTGCCATCTCCTCCTGGACCTTGGGTTGGGACCGCACAGCCCTGGGCTGGCTTTGTGACCTACACTGTGTCCCCAGGTTTGAGATCAACTTCTTGTCTGAGACGGGTGACATCGCCTTCCACATCAAGCCCCGATTCTCCAGTGCCACTTTGGTGGGCAATGCCTTCCAGGGTGGCCGCTGGGGCGAGGAGGAGGTGTCCAGTGTCTTCCCACTGTCCCCGGGGGAGCCCTTTGAGGTGACAGGGACCTGGGTGGGGCCTGAGGGAGGATATCAGGGACAGAAGGCTGTGAAGGAGGGGGTTCTGGAGGGCCAGCACAGCAGGTCCCTCCCTGGTGAGCCTCCCCCTGCCTCATTCTCCCCATTTGTGCTATGGGGTGCTCATACTTAGCCTCCAGCCCCTCCCTCTTGAGAGAAACGAGGGGTCCCCAGTTTGGTGACCAGCCTGAGCACTCCTGTTCTGCCTGCCCAGATGGAGGTCAGCTCAGATGGGGAGCACTTCCACGTCTATGTCCAGGAGCACAAGGTCCTGCAGTTCCCCCACCGCCAGAGGCCACTGGCTGCCATCACCAGGGTGCGGGTGCTAAGCGACCATCGCCTGGCCCAGGTGGACTTGGCTAAGCGCAGCCTAAACTGGGGGTAATGTCCCTCCTGCCCTCTATGTCACCCCTACAGGGACCTCCTCGGGCCGGGCAGGGGTTGTCACCTGGCCTTGCTTCCTATCCCTCTTCCAGCTGGCCTCCCACATCTGCCCACACAGGAAGAGGTCATTGTCCTGCCATCCTGTCCAGATCTATGCCCTGGTGGCTGGATCTGAGGTGTGTCCCTTGGATGTTTTCAGGGATGGGAGCTACTGAGTGGAACCTGTGCCCCAGGATTGAGCCTTGGCTGGTCCCGTGTTCAGGGTGCCTTGAGCCCACCCTGGGGAAGTCCTTTCCCACACCTGGTCAGTACCTCAATAAAATGCAAACCACCTGCAGGTGCTTGACTGGCTGCTTCTGGGTGGGGACTCACCTGGGAGGATCCACCAGCGCAAAGGACTTGGGTCCCTGATGCCTGCACCCCTGGTGCCACCTGACCCCTGCCTTTTCCTCAGGACACGACATCCCTACAGGAGGGCTCCTGGCCGTGGCCAAATTCTAGTAGGATCCAGGGCCAGTCCTCATTACGGTGCTGGGTCCCTTGGGCATCCTTGGCACTCCCTCAGCACGGGGAGGAGGGTAGCCCTAGGTGGAGGATGGGCTGGATGCACCCTGCCCAGGTCAGGATGTCACCTGGGAGGCCCCAAGGCATACTCCTCCCCCTCTTCCTGTTGGGGCCTTTCCTGTTTCCTCTTGTCCACCTGCAAGTGAGACGTGCTCCTGCCCTAGTCGCCTCCTGTGGGGATTCCAGGGGGAGGAGGGGCAACAGGGGCAGCTTGGAGCCACAGAGCTGAGCTCAGCATAGTGGGTCCTGACTCTGCCCGTGTTGTGCAGTCTTAGGCAAGTCCTTCCTGTCTTTGAGCCTGCACCACACTATCCCTGGGGAATAATGGCTCTGCCTCCCCCTCCGAGTGGACTCAGGCTTCAGACTACATAGCCGTGGGGTGGCAGTGACCACACACCTCCCACATGGACAGGTTTCCTTTGGTTTCCATAAATGTGTGTGCCCTTCAACACCACTGTCATGTTGTAGGTCTGTGCATCTATCGCCTTTATGTCCTTTGTGTGTTTAAAACTATCATCTGTCTGCCTGTCATGTCTGTCTCTATCTCTAGCTGGGATCCACTCTATCATCTGTCTTTTATCATCTATCTCTATAGATAGGTCTCTATCTATGATCT